CAAACATCATGATGAAGTCTTGTTCAATCTTAAATCAGAAGATGAAAACTACATCAACACAAAATCCTTCTTACCATCACCTTCCTACAAATTCAACTCCTTATACTTAAACAAGATCACCAGGAACTTCTGAATAAGTATAAAAATATCTAAAAAGAAAATTAAATCTTAAAAAAGGTCACTTACAAGGCCAATTGTGTCAAGAAACCTAGGGAAGGTATCCAAAATGTCTGTGGACTTATCCGCATCATGAACAAAATTTTATTGGTATTCAAAAGTAGCCTTCATTTTCTCCCATACAACGGTCTGATCAGAGGAATGGTTTAGGATAGATATTGCCCCACGACACTCATCACCAGTGAGCTGCTGTTGAGTGGTAACAGGGCTCTGCTGAACCTGTGGGCATCCATATTCTGGAGCTGGTTTGCCACTTTTTAAGTTCATGGTGGTGTTGCGCTGAACAGTTTTCAAACGCCAAGCAAGATATCCGCTTCCACTTGCTGGATCATAGAAATGTTCCTGCAAAAATAGATAAATCAAGTTATCTTTATATATTGTCACGCCCAGCTCCGTCCGATCCTAATGTGTGCCACGCCCAACTCGTTACCTCCTGTTTCTGCCTGATTGTTCTCACCTGTTGCTCGTTACCCTTAGCTTGTCTTTTGTATTTAGTCCTCCTCTGAGTCAGTCTTCCCCAGACTTGTCATTAATGTTTACTAATGTTTGCTATTGTGCTTCCCCGGTCCTGTCTGCTGAATAAACCCCCGTATATTCGACTACCTGGTTTGGCTTACCTGCTTTCCTGCTCGCCTGCAAGCCAGAACGTGACATATATACACATACATATAAATGTAAAACCTTTTCTCAGCAGTAGCTGTAATCTTCTGTTCCAGTAACCAATAACAAGCAAACTTCTTTAACCACTATTCTACCAGTATACTAGGTGTAAACTTACATATCCATTTTTTAAGAAAGGATCCTCTAGATATGGAAACAAGGCCACAATTCCTAGAGCATATTTGATGTGCACATTCTGAGGGGGTACTTGCCTGAAAACATAAAAACCATGAAATATACGGAACAAATATATAGAACAAATTCCTTTTTTTTTTTTTTATTGCCCGCCACCACCCCCCCTCTTCGGAGGGCAACTTTATTTTACATTAAATTCAAGAGCAAAGAGTGCGGGCACTCCAAACTCACCTGTCCTACTACTAGGGGTGTCAAAATGAATAGTTTCTATGATGAATCGCATTGCAGACGAGGACGATTCGGTATCGGTTCAGTAATAGACCATAACCGATTATAACGTACTGACGCTTTTCTGACGTCATTTGCCACATACGTGCTTTGTCGCAGTAGAATACAATGGCTGAGGGAGGCGGATCTCGAGTGCGAGTAATTAAAAATGCTCCGACTACTTTAAAAGCCGACATCTGGGCACATATCGGCTTTTATGAACACGACCTGGAGAAGACACACGCTGTGTGTAAATCATGCCACGTACAAATAAAATATTCAGGAAGTAATACTATGGGCTGATATTTGTGCCACTAGAAACTGAATATGAATTTTGCAGTTATCCGCATTAAAAAACTGAATCTGAATTTAATAGTTTGAATTTGAATTCCAGTAACTCGAGATAGCATTTATCTTACCTTGAAAAATTCAGTTTGCAAATTCAATTTCAATAGTGTGACACACATCCGGGTCCTTGAGGAAAAGTAATCGACCACTGATTCACAACGTGGTTGAGAGAAAAGGATGGACAAGAATATAATATGGATGGTTACACGTTGTTCCGTAAAGACCGTATAGGTAAGAAGGGAGGTGGTGTTGCAGTATATGTNCCTGTGATGCACCTATATCGCATAGCAGTGGCGATCGTACAAAATGGCGGCCGAGATTCCCGTGGATTGTAACATACCTAGTATATATTCAACAGTATACTTACTCATTAAAATTAGGTAAAAATTATCTTTTCAAATCAAAGTTAATTAATATCAGTTAATAACAATTACTTATTCAGAGAAGGTAAAATGTACCCCCCACAATAAAGACATTCAGATGGTTCATCAGATCAATGTTTTTAATCCAAAAAATCATATGAAACACTCAAAATATAGTGCAGCACAACAGCACACACACAAAAAATATAAAACTACACTCCATTACAACTCCATTAAAAGTATGTCCAGACAAAAGATCCTCTTCGAACAAGAGGGGAAATGTGTGTCTACTGCATGAGCTTATTTTTGAGGCTGTGGACCTTTTTCAGTAGTTTTGCCCCATCAATTTCCAAAAAAAGTTTTTGAAAAGCTTCAAACTAATTCTTCAGCTCCTTTGGATATTCAATGTTGATTGCATAAATGAGTCCCATCAGCAATATGCATGCCTTTGTTCGGCTTCCACATCCTTCCATCACTTGGTTTCCCTCGATTACAATAGACAAATCTGATGGATCCTCCTCAGCCATGACATTGTGCTTCAAATTCACCTTCATCGTTTTGTCTGTGTAGTCCTCACATTCCTACATGTTAAAAAGAAACAAACAAAAAGCATACACATTTTTATTTTATTTAAGATGCTGTTTCAATATATTTCAGTTTATCTAAAAGGAGAGCAGAGGGGGAGTGGAAGGCAAAAGGAGAAGGTGGATACGAGAGGAGAGGAGGATCCCTTGAGTTAATCAAAAATCTGTTATCAATATGACATACCTGGCAGTCATGGAAATCTTCTTGTCTTTCACCGAGGTAGTTAATGAGGCAGCAGACAACAGCATCTCTTTTTTTCTCAATGTTCTGTGTCTGTGGAGATACAATTTAGTGATAAGACTGTTAGCGGAGTGGGGAGTGATTTACATATACTAAGACCGAATTCCGGCCCTGCAACAGACTGGTGACCTGTCCAGAGTGAACCCTGCCCCTTCGCCTGATAAATGCTGGGTTGGCTCAAAAATCTTGTGACCCGAACGGACAAAGCAGTAAAGAAAATGGATGGATAAGACCGAATTCACACATTGATGTTAAAAGGTAGTTTAAGTTGGTAAGGAGCTGAACTTTGCGCACAACAAAGCAATTGTTTACAAATTACTTTACTTTTAATTCACTCATATCAATAATTACATATTTGTGAAAAAATAAAATAACATACGTCATTTAAAGTGTCCAGCAGAGGACGCATCTTGCAACCAGCTGCTCCTCCTTTGGCACGCATTAGCCGCAAAAGACCTGGTGTGTACTCATCAAGCTTCCGCATGAATGTCTCCTCCAAGGAAACTTGTGATGCGTCTAAACTCCTCCTTGATCTAGGAAGTAAAAGGACCAAAAATTACATTTTAAATTAAAGACCAGCTCTCATAGTAATCACATGAATGTATCCTAGTGGGAAGAAAAAATTACAAGACATTCTCACCTGAGCCTCAGTGAATAATGCTGGCCACCTTTCTTTAAACACACCCACAGAGGGGCTGAGGCTGACCACTTCAACTCTTCGGCTAGAGAAGGTTTTATTCATTTTATCTGCAATTATCTTTGCATTGTTTTTCTTTGTAATTTCACAAATTAATTCAAGCCTCTCTTTCTCCAGAGTCTCTTGGCGTTCACCAGTAGGGTGCGGAGGGAGGTAATTAACCTCTGCTTTTTTGGGCTTTTTTTATGTTTTTCGAAGGCACTGCATTACCTGGATGCTTCCTTTTTAAAGTGTTGATTTCAATTTCCAGGTAAGAATATTTTCAAGATCTTAGCTTGGCACGGTAATTGTGCATCTTGTTTTTTATGCGCTGCTGCCAGCCATATAAGCCTGTAAATGATCCCGGCTCCCTAAGACACGGAAACTTAGAAACCAAGGCTTCAGCCACTGAGAGGATTTGCTCATTGGTTGGGTAAGCAGTGTAAGAAAAAATTACTTTTGCAAGCTCTTGCATTATTGCTGATTTAACACTGGCATCCATGAAGTGTCTTCCAGTGGCATCATATGAGTTGTTTGCCTCTGCGAGGATGAGTTCTATATCTTGGGAAAACTCCAGTACTTGGAATGGCACTGGCCATGCAGCAGAGCGACATGAATCAGGGAGAATAATGGTGTCACTGGAACTTGACGATGCGTAGTTTGACACCTCTGAGGATGCATCATGATCTGCAGGGCAGATGTCCGTTTCAGTAGTACTTGCAGGATAGGTGCTCACTGAACTCAATGTAGATGATTCAAGTACTGGGTGTAGGTCAAGGGTTATCGTCGGCTCTTTTAGGAGCACTTTAACAGTGGCCTTGTCATACAAGTCAGCAGTTGAGGTGACACTGAAAAACTCATTGTCAAAGTGTTTGTCTTGGTATAGTAGTCCAATTTCCCCATGCAATTGAAAAGTTTCAGTAACTATGGAAACAAGATCTTCCACTGTATTTGGAATTCCTGTTGGAAGTTTCAGCTTTTGAATGTTGTGTTCTTCTAAAATGACTCTTAAATGGACCGCCATTGTTGTTTGGTGTGTGTTTCCTCAGCTGTAGAGACAGAGAAAGAAAAGAAATTCAGACAGGTTATTAATAGTTGATGAGCTTACTTGCATAGGTTTGCTTCAATATTCTTCTGCCAAAGCAATAAACAGATATTTAGTTCAGTGGAAATTTCAATAAATAATCTTTGATTGTCATTATTATTTTAAGAAGAGGTAGATGAGGAAAGGAGGAGAAGAAAGGAGAGTAAGTATGCATCACATTTTCCCATTTTCTGTGGCAATCGTCCCTGTTAAATAAACATTACAATAAATAAATAAGACAGGATTCCTGGCCATACAGCTGTTAAGTAATTGTTTCAATATCTACTTGAAAAGTGCACACATATTTGATATGACAACATAAATAAAATCAACCCATTACACTTACTCTGATGTGCAAATGAAGTGTTTAAGGGTAACCATACGGCCATCTGCTGTATTGTATGCAGCCAAGGGGTATGTTTCTTTTAATTCAGAATGTTTAAGGATTTCTGTCTCTCCTGTTGGCTCTACTTTGAAACTCCTCAGGTGTTCACAATACCAACCACTAAGCAATTTCAGAACAAAGACAGGAGTTTCACGCACAGTGATTATTTGCTGGATTTCTCCCAAGTCAGGTAGGCCTCCTGTTGAGCCAAACGGCAGCATCATGCCAATATTATAGTCTGTGCCTAAAATGGTTGCTTTATTTGTCATGTTCACAAACTCTTCCCCAGGGAACTTCCTTGCGAAGGACTCCTTAATGCCATCTTTAAGAACATCAACTGCCACAAGAGTCCTCTGGGACATGACAGTGCTGGCCTTTGGTTGTTGCAATTGTTGGTATGATACGCAATCATTGATTGGTGTTTTCTTGCCATTGTCATGAGAATGTTTCTAAAACACCCAGTCTGCCTCACAATCCTTTTAAAGAATCGATGTTTGGCTTCAAACCGCATAGTCCAGAAATGTACCAGTGGCCCGTAAACAGTTGTAAGCCATGGATAATGCTCGAGAAAGTGGTGTTTTGGTCGAACTTTCTCCTCTGGGAACACTTCAAAATATCTGTAACGGTGTTCTGAGATCTTACTTTGCATGTATCCTATTGTCTCATCTGCGTGGAGAGGAGCCATGACAAGCTCCACAACATCTTTAAGGGTCATAAAAACCTCCCAAGCAGGGAGGTGGGTCTTCTGGGACTTTGTCACCAATCATGAGTGGCATCATTCTCAACAAACACCAGTTTTCGTGTGCGTTACTTCCTACGCTTTTTCGTAAGTTGAAGTTCGGGGCAATGGGTTGTGGACAGTTTCTTTTGTCACTCCATTTGTAAGGAAAGCAACGTATGGAATGGTTGAGCTCCTGAAGAGAGATGTATTTCTCTCTGATTAACACATCAAGACAGAGTGATATTTCCACAGGTACAATTCCTTCGAGCAAATCATGCAAAGCATCAGGGGGATAACCTGATATATGAAAGTTACTGAGTCTGTCTGAGATGGGACACTGTCTTTTAACTCCGCAGTGGTGACCTTCTGCTGCTTTGACATGCATGGCATAGTTGGACTTAGTCCGTGGAGGAAACAGTCCTTCTCCTACTTCATGCTCCTGGATCTGTGACCGTTCTCCAATGCAAAAGCGACAGAAATGTGAAGCTGAAAAGCTTTCAACAAAGCCACCTATTGAGTGAGCACCAAGACTGTCAGCGACTACAGCAAGTACAGTGCCCTTGACCACTTTGCCCAGACTTGAAACAAAAATACCTTCATCTTCAAAGGACTTCAAATCTCTGAGCAGTGGGTCCAAAACCTTTGCATAGCCATACTGGTTGACATCATTTGCCTTGCACAAAATGGTTAAGTAAATGGAAGTCAGTGTAGATCTCAATGTGGCATGTATGTCTGCGAACACCCAGTACACTGCTGTGACTTTATGCTTCTTGCGGGATGTTCCCAGAGGGTTGCATATCTCAAAGTCATCTATATATAATATGAGTGGGAGTTTAAGTTCATCTTCACATAAAAAGCTGTTTTCTCTTAGTAAAGATCCATCATTAAACAATTTGTATCCAGAAGAGGCATCAGATGGCTTTTTGTTTTGTAATATTGTGTATTGAATGTGGCTGTTGTTCACAAGTTGAGATAATAATGGGAGGATTGGTATATACTGAAATTATTTTTTCTCTGTACTATCAAGTATGTACTCAACTGGTTCAATCGATGAGAGATGCTCCTTACTAAATTGCTCTCTCCTGAACTTACTGCTGAAAGGCCCATCCACTCGTAAAGCAGCACAGACAGGGCTTAGCTGGCAAAGGTCTTTGACCAGTTCTGATATCACTGAGTCTTCAAATGTACAGCCATGTTTTCTCAAAGTACTCAGAATGATCTCTTTAATGACGGGGCCAGATGCAGACGCTGTAAGGAAATGAAATTCCTCTATTAGTTCATTAATGCATGAATTGGAGACATTAAAAATGTTCTCCATTTTCAGGAGGAGCAACCCCACTCTTTTAGTAATAATTTTGTTTAAGTCCTCATCCTCCTCAAGGACTAAGCCACAGTCGTTTTCATCCTCAACAAAATCACTTTCTTCATCCAGGTTGTTTTGGTGTTGATAAAGAACATTAGTCTTGAAATCTTCCAACAAATGTGGGTTGTGTTTTCTACTCTTGTGGCTGTGGAATGTTGTATATTTGTTGGTCTTATAATCACAACCCTCAAAAACACATGGCACAGTTTCAAACTTTTTTAGATGGCCACCAAGATGTTCAAAAAAATGCCTCTCATTGTCAAAAGAGCATGAATTACAGACAATGCATGTAAACGACATGATGTTTCCTGGCTGGGTTGACTGAGAATGATGCCTTGACAAATGTGTCCTTAATGCACCCCATGTCTTGACTGTGCAAGGACAATCTGCATAGAGGTAGGGTATGGAGTGGACTCGACCTAAATGCTCATGTATTAGTCTGCTGTGTTTCAGCAGGTCCAATCTTTTTGATGTTGTGAATTTGCACAACTTGCATTTCCAGTTCATTTTCACATAACTGAGGACTTTAGTTAAGGTAACTATACCTTTAAGGACAATGTGATTTATTTTATTTGGAAAACTTGCATACCTGTACAGGATACACTTGTGGTGGTGACGTGGGTGGATGTGTCAACACTAGAACTGGTAACAGTGGTCTATCAGTGAGTCTCTGCCTGTGGAGGACAGATGTGAGAGGAACTGAAGAGAGGGCAAATAGTGAGTGTCCACATACACAGACTCTGCCTGCAACTGAAATAAAAACAAAAATTACACAAAACTAATTATCAGACGTACCTGGGTTAGATTTTGTACAGATGATTTTGGGTTTACCTCAATATAATGCAAATAATCACCCCCTTTGGTTATTCGGGTGGGTGTTTAATACGCAAAATGGATTATAACCCCAGACGTTTAAAAGAACCAGGTGGCTATTTGCAGACCGTTGATTAATTGGGGAAATATGGTAGTTTATCAGTGCTCCTCTGATCTGGGCAGTCTGTCTGTCTGACAAGGGCCGGTCATGCAGAAATAACAGACTGTGTACTCACTTAAATAAAGGCATTGCAATTACATATTCATGCTTCATATAATTAGCTTCATAGAACATATTACAAAATTATGAAAACATTTATTCAGCACTGATGTTCTAACAATAACAAATATAGTATAAAATCAATTCTAAAATGTTGTACGTGATCCCACAATTCCTTAAAAAACTTAGGTGCAGCAACAGTTGGTGTTTTCACACACACTCNAAATGTGAGGTAACAATTTGCATCGACTTTGGTGGGGTAGATTTAATCCCATATATTGAGTATAAACTATCTGAAGTAAAAAGCTATTAAATACTTGCATAAATTGGGTAACAATACCTCACATTTATGTATATATTCAACAGCTACTTACTCATTAAAATTAGGTAAAAATTATATCTTCAAATCAAAGTTAATTAATATCAGTTAATAACAATTACTTATTCAGAGAAGGTAAAATGTACCCCCCACAATAAAGACATTCAGATGGTTCATCAGATCAATGTTTTTAATCCAAAAAATCCTATGAAACACTCAAAATATAGTGCAGCACAACAGCTTTACACAACATTTCAAGTAATGAACCTGTTTTACAACTCACTGATCTATCAAATGTTGTTTCAATAATGTTGGATAATAAAACATATCCCTGTTTTAGGACATCCAGATCAGAGTGGAAAAGAGAAGTGAGGAGGGAAGGGAGCAGAGAAGAGAAAATGAAAGGAGAAGTGAGGAGATCAGAGCAGTGCTGGATGTCCAATCACATTAAGATTTTCTTGTATCTAAACTCTTAGACTAAACTCTTTGTGTTTCTTCAGATTTACACAACAGTGACTGACCAAATCTGTGGTCCAGGTACATTCATATAACAAATAACTGAACAGCCTTGTTTATATGCAGCAATGATGCACCAAATTATCAAAAAACACAGAATAAACACAACACAACAATGAACGAATTGACTTGTTTTATAACTCACTAAGATAACAGTTTCAAATGTTGTTTCTGGATAATTGGCTACTGCAAACAACACATGCCACTTATTCTATTTTAAAAATCAAAAGCACACACACAAACTCCACATGGTTGTTTCTGTGCATGTACAGTATCAAATATCTGGATAAAGATAAAACAGAACACCAACATTCTTTAGTTTTTGAGCTTGCTCTCACTCTCAAAGATAGGATGAGAATAAAAGAAACAAACAAATGAGGAGGGAAAGAGGGTAGAAGGAGAGATCAAAATTCTTCAGGTCACTTTCTATTGGTATTCCTTTTCTGTCAATCTGGGGGAAATCACAGAGCAATGGAGTGGGCTGAGATATATATATATATATTAATATTCATGCTTCATATAGCCTCATACATGTAATATGCTTCATAGAACATATTACAAAATTATGAAAACATTTATTAAGCACTGATGTTCTAACAATAACAAATATAATATAAAATCAATTCTAAAATGTTGTACGTGATCCCACAATTCCTTAAAAAACTTAGGTGCAGCAACAGTTGGTGTTTTCACACACACTCGTGGGATACAGTGGTAACGTTACTATGTTTTTATTTTTAATCCTATGCCCATTCAATATATTATAAAAAGCTGGCGTTGACTAGTTTCTAACCTTAAAACCAGCGGTCAGACACAGTCATGCATGCTGACTAATCTTGTAAAAAGCACACCACGACGGCATTTCAACTTACCGGCAGTTGTGCAGACGGTGAAAGCCCGGGACACAACAAACCGATGGCAAAGAACTAGCAGCGACGAAAGCAGACGTGCCGTTGCCTTGCGTTGGCCTGGGGTGAATTTGTTTATTTGAACACATCAAACCGACGCGTGGAACACAATAAACCAAGTTGCCTGACCGACGGTCCGACGTTGCCCAACGGCCGACCGTCGGCTTGATGTCTCCCGGGCCATGGTGACGCCAGCGACAGATTCAAACTTTAATTTCAAGTAATGGCATGTTAAACAAACGAACGCCGAATACAAGTGAAGTGTAATATCTCATAATTAAAAAAAATATATACAGCACTCCTATGTACTGTAAATAGCTTACCTTCACTTCTGCTGTTCGATGGCAGCCAGAGAGAGGATCCAGCGTTGCCCACACTCACTCAAAAACGTGGGTGGAAGTCAGTATTACTTTCTAACATGTGAGTGCATCGATACACATACCCCTGTATCGATCTAAATGTAAAGTTATAAAGTGGGTTTGAAGTGCTATGCTTCTGGTCTGCTGCATGTCTACAGTGCATTCTGTGTACTGTGCCAATAACCGGGAGCATCAGCTGGACTGGTGTTTAATATGGTGATCTGTATAAGCAGTGCTCAAAGTGGAGAAATAAAAGTGTCGCTACTGTAATGACCGTGAGAATTGCGGTGGGGTGTTGGGAACAACAGGAGCGCCTCAACAACACTGACGGTACTGCGCGCACTGCCCCGCCACTCTCGCGTGACGCTTGTCTCTGAGTAGCGGAGAAGTGGCAGTGCGATAAAAATTAAAATACAGAAGTGATGGTACTCCTTATATAATGACTCGTGTAGCTGTGCTAACCTACTGTTCCATTGTTATACGTTGACAGGGAAACAACTCAGAAGTTGTCACGTCAGCCAGACACCTCCTAAATTTACTGACCAGTGGGACACCTTTCCCTGGCCTTGTGGGGCCCAGTGCCCAAACTGCTCAAGAGACCCCCAGGTGTTGTGTCTGTTATCACAACAAATACACACAGATTAACACTAGAAAGACTGACTGGGTCAATTGACCCAAATCAAACAAAATCACTGCTATTTCTCATTGAAGTTCTTGCTACAAAAATCTGAAAAAAGTTAGCTTCAGTTAGCTTTCGTTTGACAGCTCATGCATATTTTGGCCAAGCATTTGCCGCAAACAGGACGCATGCACGTGTCTCAGGTAGTGACAGTTTTGTTGCGTTTACAA